GCAGCGTATCGCGGTGACGTCACCGTCTTCATTATCCTCCTCCCTCCGCCCCGCCCCCCGCGCCGCTGAAGACCACGACCGCGGCGCCGCGGCGCGGGCGGAGGGATCATGACGGAGGCTGCGGGCGAATAGTTTGTGCGGAGAGAAGAACGGAAAGAAGCTGAAGGAGGAAGAGGATCGTAAAAAAGTTGTGATAGACCCTGTGGAGATGTAAGGAGACTAGATAATAGCCAATGGTAGAGGATACAAATGGATGAAAGAAAAATAACTTTGATCCTTTGGACAAGGCAAATACTAGTCTGGTATCTGAAAGACATAAACAGATATCATATAAGAGAAAATATATTAATGTAAAAGCTATTATAATAACTTTGCTAATGTTATAATAGCAATTATACTAATGAGGGTGGGTGGAGGTAGTGATGGTTTTGTGGTACATAAGGACTCGGAGTACGCAGAGGAAACTGAGATGGAAAAGGAAGACGAGGGGGAAGTGGAGACAGTGTAGACAAGGTTGAGAGAGAGCGATCGTAGAACAAGAGATGCCAGAGATGAGGAAGCCCAATAAGACTGATGACGTCCTTCGAAGTGACCGAGATATTAGATATATGAAGCGGCGGTGACAGAGAGAAATGAAGAGTTGTGTCGGACAGATGAAGAGGTGGTGAAGAAGATGGAAGGAATACAAAATTCAGAAAAAGTGAATTGAATGTTTACAATTTAATTAATGAAGAGCATGAATGTTAATCCATAATGAAGAGGTTTTGTTGTATTAGCAATTAATGTCGAGCCATGGGCATCGTGAGAAACTCTGCTAGGGAGCTGATGAAAATGGCGGTCAAATATTGTTTTCCCAAAGCAAAGAAATATCATAGATCAAACACAAGAGTTTCTAGAAATATGGAGTCTCTTTTCACATACTTTCCTCCGCCTTCGACTCCTCTTCCAACGCTTTTTCTGCAGTCTCCAGGTTCTACCTTGTGTACCTTTCTCCCTTCTGGTTATTTACTGTTGTTTCCCTATACCTTTTAGTTCTTCTTTGCAATCATCACCATTCACACCATCACCACTTCCACCATCACCTCCCCTACCACTACCACCCCACCACCATCACCACTACCATTATCACCACTACCACCATCACCACTACTACCATCACCACTACCACCATCAGCACTTCCACCATCAGCACTTCCACCATCACCACTTCCACCATCACCACTTCCACCATCACCACTTCCACCATCACCACTTCCACCATCACCACTACCACCATCACCACTACTACCATAACTACTAAAGACAGCAGCAGAGCATTAAAGAATCGCGAGACTTCACCGTTTCTCGTTGGAAACTTCAACGCGACACCTGATGACGAACTCGGAGATGGCGTCGAATACGAGGCGAAGGCGGCGTCCGCGATGGCGAGGGTTGTTGGCCTCCCCTCCCCACTCCTTTCCCCTCCCGAGGCAGCGGCCGGCGTTTTTAAGCGCCTTAAACTCCGATGTTTACGGCTGTCTAATATTCGACGAGCGCGTTCCCTGTCCTCCGCGAAGGATGAAAATTTCCGAGCGCGCCGCCGCCGCCGCCCTCGCGTCCTGGAAACGGCCCCCGACGAATAAGAAACCAGTTGGACGACGCCCTTGTCGGGGATCGCCGGCGTTATGGGCGCTCGCGGTGTGGAGGGCGGGCAACGGGGGTCGCCGCATGGGACCTTTGACACCTGCGACTCTGTTTGTTCACGCACACGGTTCACGCCTGCCGCTGAGTGGCAATGCGGGACCTTTGAATCATTTTCTGTCGCATGGGATGGCTACTCTGTGTTATTAGGATAGAGGTTTGATCTCGTATGTTTAGATTGAAAGGAGCACTTTCAAATGAAACAAACTTTTGCCGATAAAAGAAAAATAATTGCTTATTTCTTATCAACCCTCCATTAAATAGTCTTATTAAAAATTATTTGAGTAAAATCTCATGATGAACTGTGTTGTGATTAATATTGACAAAATATAATTTAGACCCTATCAATTTCACAGCTATGACACTATTTCGTGATCAAAAGTTTTAAGAAAGGTAATTTAAGTACGCATGTAAACCTTATTATCCGTTTAAATGTAAATGTTCTTTTGAGTATTTATATGTAATATCCATTAGCGCTACCCTCAAACATTTGATTTTTTAATTATTGATTTAAGAAATTGTTTGTATTTTTCTGCGATATCAGGGTTTTATTTAAATGTATGTAAAGTATTGTATACAAATATGATACTATCTAGGTTGAAGAATAAATGGAAAGAACAATTTTCTGAAACACATTTCTTGGTTTCCCTTTTAACAATTAAAGTTTCTGTAGAGTTCGTTATGTTCCAGTAACAACTGTAGTTCTTAGAACTTCAAGAAACGTGCCATGAATATCAGGTTGTCATTGACTCATTAAAGATAATATACAATATCGATATTGGTGTGAATTTAGTCTCTTTGGTTAAATTATTTATACAGGATATTTTACTTATATTCATTTTCATATACACTGTTAATTATGAGTGCTACTTTTTTAAGTTCACAAAAACCTTCATTGATAATGAATATACATGCCTGGTATTTTCAAACTTGTTGTGCATTATTTTAACACAAAGTGGACACACCTATTTTATATCACGTACTTAATGGTTTTCTTCTACTCAGCGAATGGCTTCCAGGAAATTCATAATTACAATTCTCCAAAATATTATTTATGATTTACAAACCATTATTAACCATACATGTTCTGTTCAGCTGTAAAATATTTCATGTAGTTTTTCTGCATGCATACATTGTAAACTTTATGAACATTTTACCTAGTAAACATTTCTGAGCAGCTTCTTCAAAGGCGTTCCAAGAACTTTACATTGAACGACAATTTCTGCGAAAGAATGCAAGGTCTTGCCACCGAACCTCCATCATAACCACTTGATACATTTCATTGCAGTCCTTGCGTACAGAACCAGAAATTTGTTAGTATTAAAGTGTTAAGGTTTAACACAACACTCTGAACATTTCCGAGGTTATTTTGTTTTTACCTCCTTTTTTTTACTAATGTAATGCTCGTATACCTTTTCTCGACCTTTTTCAGAAACCATCTTCCTTTTCATCTCTTCAGCGAATGTTAGTAACCGTCCTTAAATACTTAGAAAGAAACATAGAACCTATATAAACATATGAAAAGGTATTAATTAATGAAAAATGTTCACAGATGTACGGTGACCGTGGATGTCCGTGGGCCCCGTGCTCTTCTTGGCAGCGCAATCCTGGCTGCGATGGCTTCCGGAGGTGAGTGTAAATTAATATCTACTTAATGAATATAGTTTTACACTTTATAGAAGAAATTAAAAGCATTTGGAAGTTTGTTGACTTAATACATGTATTACAACAAATGTCTGCTTTATATTACTTAAGACACTGATTGCAGTGATTTTAGTGAAAATTCATCAATTCAATGCTTTATTTACCAAACTATTTTTAGATCAGTGAATTAGTAATTATTAACATAATAAAGTCGGCTACTTTATCATTGCCCTAACTTTATTTGTAAGTGCTATAGCATTCACGATAAAACGAAAACTAAAAACCGCGTGTGGGACCTAATGTTCAAATAACTGCCCACTGTATTGAAACGTCCTTGATTTCGCAATTTTCTTTCGACTGTTCTTTTTGTTTACTGTGACTTTTTTATTGAATCGTAAATTAATTAGCATTAATTATGATGCCCTCGGGGAGATTTTACTTAGACTGGATCGACAACGGAATGTAGCATTGCCCAAGTCGAACTCTGCATCGATCGAGATATAACGTACAAGCAGCCCGATGGATTTATCTGCTACAGGCGAGTTGACTTTCCTTTCGCAGTCCGCAGGGGGCGTGGTTCCCGAGATGTTTCATGCAGAGTGATTGTATCTTATCGTGGGTGCGTGTACGACGCATGCTCCCTTTGTGACTCGGGGGTTTTATTTTTAACGGAGTGAATGCCGCTGTTGTTGCAACTGCTCTACAAGCGTTTATCCACATTTCAGTGACAGCCAACAGTAGCATAAACTACTAAGAAAGAAACTTATTCTTTATATAATATCATTAAGGGACGAGGATGATGAAACCAAATGTATATTTGGAAGATAAGAAATAGACAATATGTACAAAATATCGATGTGCAGAATTACATTGATCAGTTACAATTGGGTTGTTAATTTCATTGGTTGCGCAAACAAAATTACATTGCGTTTTGTTGTCCTTAGATACAAATTCCCATTCAATATGGATTTTCGCGATTCCTATCAAAGGTTATCTAATACATCTTGTTTCTTCATTGTAAACAACTATAAATATTACTTAATAATTATTTCAAATAGTCACTCTGAAGTATATTGTAAAATTCGCAGTGCTTAAAGAAAACCGGATTGTTCTATTTTCTCCTGTTCTCTCTGAAGTAGTTCTGTGCGTGTGTTGAGGAGAAAAGGCCAGAGATATTTCCATTTGTTTGTGGTGACTTCGGCAACGAGAAACCACTGCATCATTCATTCTGCCATTATTATATCACGTTTTCATCAATCATTAAGTTCGGGCGCTGACTGAGCGCTGTCCCGACCTCCGCCGGGGAGGCTGACCTTCCAAAGAAGGAGAGGCGCTCGGTGCACCTGCACGGTCGGACGGCGCGATGACGCGTATGTTGGTAGTGATGACATTGACATGATACGGCTGAATGCCTGGTACTCATTAATACAATAATTGTACAAGGGAGGCAAACTTGCAGTAACCAACTATTTAATATGAATTGCCCAAAATTTAAGTAAATATAGCTTGCACTTCCCTTAAAGAAAAATTTGAACGAGAACGAGTATCACATAATTTTCAAAGAACATACATGTTTTTTCGCTTGCTAGTTATTATCTAAACACTTGTTATAATAATTAAAATAAAAAAACTCAACTTCACAAACCGTAACCAGTAAACAGTAAACCGTAAAGAAATTTGCAAATTTCAGATGGTTATACCTATAAAATAATTATTAACATTCTTTAGAGAGGAGTGAAATTGTAACTGATCTTCACATTTCAAATTACATTGTCCCTTGATTTCACGTATTGCTTGTAGTTTCCTCCTTTCCTTCTATTCCCAAATTTCCCTTGATTGACTACAAAAAAAGTAGTGCCAAGACAACAAAAAACTATTTTCACCCTCAATGAAAGAAATGTGTCAATAAATAAATGAATCCATGTGAATTGAATAGTACATTCGAGTAATTTCGAAACCAGTCTTGTCATGTCAACCCTATTCTGTAACGAAGATATTGCAGCAATATATAACATCAGGAATATTTCGGAGATAATAAAAAATAGAATCAAATGTATGGTTACTTATATCCAATAATATGATGATTGTGTTAAATGAAGATAAATTTATCAAATAATGTTCATACAAAATGTGATAAAAGTTTCTGAATTAAACTATCATTAATTTATTGTAAAAATTCAAGAAAATCCACTACACTCTGAAGCCCTAATCAATGACACGAACAATTTTAACATTCATTCAGCTACCGAAGTAAAGATTCACACTTATATCTTCTGTAACATCTATAACATTGTCTAACATCTCAAGTTCTGTAATTTTTTCTGCGTCCACGAACTTGTAATGTAAAATTTCAGCAACTGTAGGAAGATAAAAACAAAAATTGTTTGGATATTATCACTCAGGTTTTAAGGATATATTGTGAACAAGTATTTTTCAGATAGATTGAATCATAAGCAATACGAAAATAAAAAAAACCGACCGGGTAGCTATAAAATGTGGGGTTATTCGAACGACTTCTGGCGGTGCAATTCAGTAGTTTTCTCGGCGCGCATTTCGGTTTCGCGGTTTGAATGCGGTTGTAGGAAGGAGCGGCAATTGTTCTGGCATGTTTGTGCAGGAAATCATCTGGCCAATCGCACGCTTCGGAACTCGAGATCTGCAGAAGCGAAGAACTAAATATCCTTTGCCACGACACGCGCTAAGGATGTACAACGTTACTGATCAGCCAAAGTAACAGGAACAAAATTGTAAAGGTCAGGTTCAACAGAGTCCATTGTCAGTGAAATAAACCCAAAATACTGATTTACTACAAATAACATATGGCATAGTACACAATTATTTTATGAAACACATGCATGGGCAAAAGGCAACATAAGAATCCACAGTGGAAGATAGCCCAGAATACCGAGTTGCCAGCTCACGTGACAGATGATTGGGACATGTCCATACGGGCGTGCTGCGCACACCTAAGTGCAATGTAACAACACTGTAGACCTACTCCTTAATACACACGCTGATGTGGACCTAAACGGCTATAACAACTATCGGAAGAACTAAATTCGATTCCTTAGGGACTTGGGAACCTTGGCAAATAGTTCAATATTTCAACTGGTAATCCTAGCAGGGTCTCGTAAAAATCACTTTGCTGTCCTGTAGAGGACCGATTAGATTATTGATGATGATAATTATAATGGAAAACCGTTAATTTAGTATTAAAGAAACTGAATTGTGTTGTGTCCTGTCTAAGGCTCGACAGCCCGCTACGGGCCTTGGCTGACCAGCGGTGACTCGGCCCCTCGACCATGGGATTAGGAGTTCGTGTGGTTAGCAGCACGAAGACATCCCTGCATCGTAAATTCTGGTCTTCTTAACCTTAGAGTGGTCTTTCTCGTCGTCACACAACAATAGATACCGGAATATTTGTAACGACTTCGCGCAGTAATTATTGTGGCCCGTACGGGTGTCGAACCCGGGGTTGCATTCATTATAATTAATTATTAATATATGATTTTGATTTCGTTCCTTCATTTTGACGGTGTAGACGTAATAGCTTGAGAATTGTGCTTCAACCTTCCGCAATATTGTGAAGTGAAGCACAATTTTGAGTCAAAGAAAATAAAATATGTGCGCCTTCATTGACATTTAGCAACACGGCAGCTAAAATGTGAGCAGTAGGGGCACTGATTATGATGTTGTCTTCGCAGCAATGACTTTTAGCATACCATTTTCACCGATAGAATTCTTAAGATAATTTCATGCTCCATTGCCCACAGAGTGATCGCTATATGTTTAAACCTAACGGAAGGCGTAGTGTTGAAGTAAATGTGCAATGCCCTGTAGAAATTCTTGTCCAGAGCGCCTGAAGCACATCCTGCAGCAACCGGCCGCTGAAATGTGTTCCTCCTTGAATGTGTTGAGAGTGGTCTTAAAGTGCGCGTCCGTTACCTACTGTCACAAGAGCCATCGCGCTCTTCCGTTCGCACAATCTCCACCACACGTTCACTTCAATGCTCATCGATATAGGAACTTGCCGAGCACTCATATTACGCAATACATGAATCCCATTGAACTTCTAATAGCAAATTAGTTAATAGAGTATTTGCAGTGTTAAATTGTGAACAATCTATAATTACAATTGTGAATTTATTAGTAAATACTAATTGAGGAAAGGTGCAATCCAATGTCCTGACCCATTGCTCCATTTTCCATCGACTTTATGAATACTCTTCTAACTTCCAATATTACGTTTATTCCCTTAAGTTAGACTACATACTTATAAAATTTATCACTCTCGTAATTTTCGCTCTTGTATCTTCAAGTCGTCACATTCACGCTCTCCAGCATGAACCACACTTACGAGTCTAAATGATATAGTAATTGACGCTACCAAAAACACTGAAAAATCAATCCCCAAACAGTCCGTTGTTGCCGTGATAAATTATGGAATCGGTCGGCAATAACAAAGATGGAAATGGAACTGTCGATAGAAGTTCGACGACCAAGACCTCGTCCCCATCCCGCGACGTTCGCGGCTCTAACTTCCCAATGTCCTCTCCCATCTTCACTTACTAATATTGCTCAGCTTTTTGTGTAAAATCCTTCACAACCAGAGGCCCCACACACCTTCACACCCTTCGCCACCCCACAGCCCTCCTCCGGGGCGGTGCTGCCGACGCCCGCGCTTTCGGGGCGTGACGTCACCAGCCGCGGAACAGCTGCCCTTCACGCCGCGCCGTGACCGCCCGCCCGCCCTCGCAACGGCGTTTGCAGTCAATCTCCGGTCTGCGTTATCGACCCCCGCGTGCGACGGGACGGTGGGGAGGTGTGGAGGGTTGGGGCCGGTGGCGGTGAGGTGGAAGATGGTGTGTGAACACGGGACAATAGGTGGCGGGGAGGGTGCCAGGGTGCGTGCGGG